GCGACCTCCGATGTCCTCGCGGGCCTGGGGCCTGTGTCCGGGACCTGGGTGGGAGTTCAGGCCTGGGCGACTCCGGGCTGCGCTGAACCGGTGGTAACCAGGCCCCGCGGCGGAGGCCCCGTCCTGACGTCACAGGACGCTCCGCCCCTCTCTCAGTTCGATTGGTCCCTCTCAGTAAAGCCCGCCCCCTTTGTTATTCTATTGGCCTCTAACTTAGTCCTGCGGGGCTTCAAAGACAGACTCCGCCCCAGCCCCAGAGACTTTGCCTTCCTCACCCCCAACTGCGGAGTTCTGTGACCTCTCATTTTCTCTCATCCCTCACAGAACGCTCCACAGTTATACAGGAACCCTACAGAGACACCCACAAACCCAGACTCCTCATGGACGTACCACAGTATCCGCACATCCCACCCAGAGACCCTCACAACCTGCAATCGGCTCTGTTTCCCCCAGGAAACCTCACCCACGTGGGAAGTGACCTGACTGCTGTTGTCATGGAGTCTACTGGGCGTTCCTGTTGCCCTGGTGACCGAATCCTCTTCTCCTGACCCAGGTTCTAGAGGTTTCAGTCAAGCCCCTCCCTCATCGGCTCCGGACTCCTCTTGTCCGTCCCTCTTACCGCCCTTCCCCAGGTCAGCCAAAGTCTTCTGCGAAGGTCTACAGATACCCTAGTCTCCCCAAATAGGAAAGTTTCAAACAAGTCCTTTCACTTCTCAGCACCTGCAGCTCGGCTCATCCACAACCAAGAGCGTTCCCTCCCTCGGAACAACACTTCCCCCTCCAACCTATGGCAAGCTTCTGACCTAAGGACTTTTAACAACCACGCCAAAACCCAGAGGTATGTAGTTTCTCCAATGCCCACTCCCAACCTCCAATGTGTTCCTCCTCCTAATACTTTTTTTCCATGCGTGGCTACTTTTCATCCTTACTCTCCCTTACAATTCCCTTCCTTTCAATCCTCTCCCCCAGTTCTCTGGTTCTATACCCTCAGATACCTTTTTTTTCTCTAGCTGACTCTGGCCACTTTTGCCCCATTATCCTATCTTTGACCCTAATTCCTTTACTAACCTTCGCCTCTGGAAAGGCTCTAATGAGTTCAAGAAGGCTTTGATGAATTTAGGAAGTGATATATCTGGTGTCTCGGGAGCATGGGGGAACATTAGAGATAAGAAACAGTTAAGGCAAGAATTCTCTGGTGGTGCAAATGACGACAGACCTTGAATGCAAAGGCCAAGAAATTTGGACTTAATCATTTAGGCTGGACCACTAAACATTTTTAAGCAAGGGAATGAAGTGTTAGTTTGCATTTTGGAAAAATCTTGTTCTGGCCAAGATGGAGGACTAACTCTTTTAGACATCCTTCCAGAATAAATTAGGCAGGCATACTCCTTCCCCACAGCATCTTGCATTTACTGAGCCATATCAACTCATTTGTGTTGTCATTGTTAGTTGTTTCCCTCCCAAACTCCACTGAGTCCAGTGCTTAGCACAGTGCCTGAGTAAAAGTGTAATATTGGGCTCTTTGTAAAAGTGTAAGTTTCCTAAAGAACAAAAGAATGGGTGAATTGATTAATGTGATGAGGATGGCAATGAAGGGATAGTTATTATACAACCTAGGCAGAAGATAATGAGACCTTGAATGAAATTGGAAGGAAAGGAGCAGAGAGAAGGCATTTTAGGAATATTTAGCAGATAGGCCACCTTCTGCCCCATTAATCCTACCTTTGATCCTAATTCCCTTATCAAACTTCCCCTCTGGAATGTCTCTGATGAGTTCAAAAAGGTCCTTTGAAGTGATATATTCTTGGTACCTGTTAGAAGATGGAGTCCTAGAGAAAAGGAGAAGACTGAGATAGTTCCCAGAGTTCAGTTTTGATACCTGTGGGACACCAGTTAGAAATGTCCAGAAGGAAATTAAAGTACAAAATTAAAGGTCAAAAGAGGTTTGAGCTGGAAATATGGATTTAGAAGCCAGCAGTATACTTCTAGGAGTAATTGAAGCCTTGAAAATGAATAACAATCAAGGGAGAGTGTATGTGGTCCCTAGTTAAAACCAGACTGTAAGCAGGGTCCTGCCTTATGCATCATGGCATTCTCCCACACTCTTGGGAGCCAACACCAACTTTGATATGTTATTTCCAATTTCTGGGACTCCATAGCCTGACATCCAGCATGCTTAGGACCCTACTCTTGGACTGACCAAATACCTGGGTTTGGGCTTCCTCCTGAGGCATCGTTCTCTCCTACCATCTACTGATGGGATTCTACTTCAGCTTTTCTCTCTTTAAACTCCAGCTCCCTAACAGCTGAAGGCCACATGCGACATGAGGCCTGGCCACATGAGTGGGCCTCCTAGTATCACACTCTGAGACCCAGAACTCTCGTGTTTCAGGTGCACTGAAGCCTTATTCTAATTCCGTAACCCTCTGTGGACCCTGGTCTCTGCCCTAACATGTAGATCTCGCCTCTGATCACAACCTAATAAAGTCTATACCCTATTCTACCACTAGATGGAAGCAAGTCAGATCATGGAAGAGCAAGATAACACTACCACCATAAATGAAAAAGAACACCCCTCAACAAAAGAGCCTGCTGATGAAGACTTACAGGCGCTCCCTACCACTGAAACCCCCTTGGAGCCTCTCATCTCTCAGACCCCTTTAGATGCCCTTGCTGCTGAAACCCTTCTTGATTCATTTGCTTCCCAGACTTCTTTAGAGATCCTGGTCTCTAAGAGCCCTTTGGAGCTTTCCATCCCTGAAACCCCTTTAGAGTCCCATACTTCTAACCCTCCTTTGGTGCCATCCACTTCTCAGATGACTTTAGTACCCCCAGCCTCTGAAAGTCCTCTGAAGCCTTCCATCCCCATGACATCCATCTCTAACATCCCTTTGGAAGCCCCTACTGCTGAGACTGACATCTCTAAAGTCCCAGAGAAACATCTTATTTTTCTGCCTTTATCAGTAACCCATGCTTCTGCCTCTCCTCTGATGTTTTGAAGGAAGACCTCCTCTCCGAGTCTCCTTCCAAGGAGCTCCCTGAATTTGAGCACCTTCTAAAGCACTCCCTTTCAGGTCCTTCAGCCCATGTATGCATGGACACATCTGCAAAACAGAAGGAAGAGGCAGAAGACAAAGATATAGTGGATACCAGTGGCATCACTGCTTTCACAGCCCAGCCTGGACACCAGCTGGGCAAGAAGAAGAGGAAGAAAGGGATTATCCGTAATTACTCTTGCCCTTTTCCCTGTACTCACCACTGTCTGTTGTCTTTGGCCCAGGAGGAGGGAGCTGGGTTATTCTTGAACATGACCATTTCTCATAGGTCTTTTGTTTTTTGTTTGTTTGGAGGGTTTGGGAGGTTGGCCTCTTTGCTGTTTTTTTGGGGGGGTTGTTTGTGTGTTGGTTTAGTTTGAGTTTTTTTGAGACAGGGTCTCATGTAGTCCAGGCTGGCCTTGAACTCAGGCTGGCCTCCAACTTGCAGCAATCCTCCTTCCTCAGCCTCCCAAGTGCTGGGATTACAGGTGTGCACCAACACACCTGGCCCTTTTGTCTTAGTTTTAGAGCCTCTTCACATCCCTCCTTGGTTACCTCCTAGGTTACACAGACCACTCAATGGTCCCTGCTAAGCAGGCAGGGCTGGTGGAGATGGCTAAGGCAATGCACAGAGAACAGTTTGGTGCTCAGTTGAATCATCTTTTCCAATGGGAGAAGGATGCAGCCCTGAATGCCTTCCAGACATGTGAGCCTAGATGGCATTTCAGATAGATTCCTGTAACAGGCCAATGGACATCATCTAAACCAAGAGGATCTTGGAAACTGCCCATTCAATGAATATTTATCCATTGTGGAAATGACCTGGCCATGGGCCTAGAATCTGGAAGGGGAGCAAGGAGGCAGGCCCAAAAATACCAGGATGGGTCTGACCAAAAGGGGATAGTCATATAAAGCCCAAGCAGGAGCAGGTGGCTGCACAAAAATTTGTTAAAAAGAGAAAATCCAGAGGCCATCTCCAAATCTAGGCCCCAAATAGCCTGCACCAGGCAGATCCTAAGGCAGAGATGGCCCAGGATCTTGGAAAGTCTCTGGAAGACTTCTTGTTTGGATATGGCAAAAGGCCTTGACTCCTCTGGTAGGATTCCATTAAAGGCTGTCACCCCTGTATGACAGATCCATGATCACCTGGGTACCCAAAAGTTTGGAGTCTTTCCACTAAAAGAGGAGTATGTTATCTAGGCCCATTGAGTCTGTTTCAGCCCAGATAGTCTTGCTAGTGGCATGCTGTGTTCTGTCTGTATTTCTGTTGTGCAGATGAGCTGTGTCAACGATGTCATCCTGTATGTGAGCCTGTCTACATGTCTTACTGAACTTCATATCTACAGGGATTATTAACTCAGTAAGAAGGCCACCCTGGCCTGCTATAAGGTCTGGGATATCCAGATGGATTGATGTCACTATGTTTATTTTGATCTTTCATACTTCCTTTTCCCCTTATCATGGGAACAGAGCTATGTCAAAAGGATAACCTGGTGATTCCATATCCTTTTCCCACTTCTGTGTAATTTACTTTCCCTATTCCCATTCAGGGACCTTCTACCTCAGGCCAAGAAAGTCAGAGTGACCTCATTTCTTTCTCTGTTTAATTCAGGCATTGAAATGGCTTTTTTGCTTATTTTAACATCTTCTGTTATTTTAGGGTCTGTTCAGTCCACCATTCCTTTTTTTGGACACTCTTATCTATCCCTAATCTTCAATACCACTGCATCCTTACTTTCAATTTGCAGGTCTTCATTTTCCTGATTAAGTAGGGAGTTGATACAAAATTTAAGTGTTATTCAATCTGAACAAAGATATTTGGGGATCCCTTCTAATGTTAAAGAATCTTGAGTCCTTGGCGAGTCAAGACTCCATCACAGTATATATGATGTGTAGAGAAATGTCAGATGTAAGCTTTTTTTTTTGGTACGGGGTATCAAACTCAGGCCCTTGCTGCTTGCGAGGCAGGTGCTGGAACCACTGAGCTAAATCCCCACCCTCAGATATAAGCTTTTTAAAAAATTCTTTCAACAAACAGTTATTGTGTAATATCTTTGAGCTAGCTATGGGAGTGGTAGAGCTAGTAAGGTTTCAAAGACAAAATCCCTCAAGTAATTTGCACTCTAATGAACAACAGCAATAAATAAAAGCACAACTACAATTCACTTCAATAATTGTTATAGCCAGAGTGCTGCAAGAGCAGAGAAAGAGGGTAACGAATCTTGGGTACTAATGGAATAAACCTTGGGGGGAAAGACTGCTCAGCTGATATCTGTAAGATGGTAAGAAAAGGTGGCCAACTCCAGAGTAGAGTAAGGTGAGAAATGACAAGACAGGATATCTTAGGACACTGTAGCAGTGCACTGTGCCTGGTGCATAGAGTAATTGAGGGGGAGTATCCCAGCTCAGCTCTGGAAGGGAAGAATTGTGAAGACATATCTGTGCAATTATATCCTGAAAACAACTGAGAATCACTAAAAGATTTTAAATAGGACAGTAATATGAGCAGATTTGTATGTTAGGAAGATCACTCTGGCTGGAGAAAGCCAAGATTGGAGAGAGAGAGACTACACCAGTAGGCCCTGGTAATTAGGTAAGAAGGAGGTAGGAAGAGAAAAGTAGACAGATTCACAAATTGCTAACAAGGTAAAATTGACTATTGGGTTGTTAGATGTGCTTAATAAGAATGGAAAATGTCTGTATTAAAACCTAAGTTTTGGTTTAAATAGCTGATTTGATGATGGTGCCTAAAATAGTGTAGATGCTACATAAATGTGTGTTGGATGAACACAGGGTCAAGGATGAGGATTGAGTTTGGAAAGAAAGCTAGACATAACACAGTAGAAGTGCTTATGGAATATGTTCATGAAAGAGGCTGGTAGATAACAAGCTGAGTGTTATCTCTCCAGAGAGAGGTGTTGGATACAGACATCCTTCCTGTAAAGACAGCTACATGTTGTATGGAGACTTCCAGACATAAAGAGATGTTATCATACCAGTGTAATTGCGCAGTCATGGAATTGGACTGTATTATACAGTCAGAATGGTGGCCCAGATAATGTCTTCCCCCATTGTCTTTGTCCACTCATAACAGAAAGGGGGCTTGGACTCAGGGCAGAGAATGGAATGTACAGCCAGATGTCAATTTTCCTTCCTAAAAAGCACTGAATAGAGTAATAGAATAGAATCCCAGGTCTAGTTCCAGTCTTCCTACTCAAAGTCTTTGTCTAAACACTGGGCACTGATTCCCATACCAGTGCTTAGACCTGATCTATAGGTGTGGACTTTTATCTATGAGCATAAACTCTTTTTTTTTTTTTTTTTTTTTTTTGGTACCGGGGATTGAACTCAGGTCCTCTCGCTTGCCAGGCAGGCGGTGGAACCACTGAGCTAAATCCCCGGCCCTATGAGCATAAACTCTTGTTCATCTCTGTACCTCCACTGCTTGTCCATTGCATCCTGATATTCTAGACAGAGTTTAGAATTCCTCTAGTGGAATCCTGGCTCCCACCACCCCCATTGTGACTCTGCCTGTACCCTGTGCTCTCAACTGAACCTCCCTCGTATTCTAGGGCACTGGTACTACAAGCTGTCAGTATCACAGTCAAAGCAGCCAAAAGTCACATCTGAATAGGCTTTAGATCCTGAAAAACTATGGGTAAGATAAGAATACCTGGCCTGAGGCACAGAATTGTGAACTGTGACCCTGGAAGAGCAAAAAACCAGAGCATGCCAATTCTTTCTTATTCTCCTATGGGACTTCAGGTTTATGCTTGGAATGTTGGGTCTCTCTCCTCTCCTGAAGGAATTTTCTGGCTCACTTATTTAGTCAGGCAGTCTATGTTCTCTGAACCTCTGTTTGTGCCAGGCCCTGTGCTGGGATTAGAGATATGGATGAAACATAATGTTTCCCTGAGGAGCTTGTGGAGTAATAGGAGTACAAGTGAACAGTCCCATTGCATTGCATTGAGTGTGATAGGAGTAGCACAACGAGCTGCAGAAGGAAAGAGAAGTGGGCCTAGCAGAAAGGGGGAAGAGGTGAGTCCTAGTTGAGATTTCAAATGGCAATAAGAGTCCTACAACTACAAGTCCCACTCTCTAGGAAATAAGTAGGATTCTTGGCTAGAAGTAGGGATATTCTCTGCTATCACAGAGAATGAGAAAATCTGAGAAGAAGGTGTTCTTGTTCTCCTGCCATGTGTACACAGCACCACCTTGCCTCATGGAGAGACTGGCCACGAAATCATATAGTTTCAGACCCCACTGCTAAAACCAGGCTTTCCAGAGTTCTAACCTCCTTCCAGGACCTGCATTCAGAAATACTTCAAGGGCCAGGGAATTTGCTCAGTGGCACCACGCCTGCCTCGCAAATGCAAGGTAATGAGTTCAATCCCTGGTACTACAAAAAATGGAGAAGGAAAAGGAGGGAGGAGGAAGAGGAAAAGAGGAAGAAGAAGAAAAACTTAACCTAACCTCACTTTCTTTGCCTTGCCTCCTTTCTTAGCCTCACAACTGATATTTTCAGGTCTCAAGTAGTCATGACTTCTGACCTGCCACCTTCTTTGACTTTTGGAGAGCCATAGGCAGCCCTTCGTGGGTTCATAGAGGGCCTATAACACTGGGAACACAGGAGAGATGTACGAACATACCCACCTGGAAGAGTGAGGGGAAGCACTGCTCCTGCCTCTTGGCACCAGGGCTGCCCAACACTGTCACTGTTTTCCAGAGGAAATCCTTCACTGACCATTCTCCTTAGGAGCCAATATCCTCATCTGCTGTGCACCTGACCAAGCACCTTTCCTCTCCCTCACTTTAGAGGCTTCAAGGAAAGGGGATCTTCTATGGAGAGGGAAGAAGATAATAAACCACGTAGTCACAGAGAAATTAGTGAGATTCACATGCACCTTCAAACAAAGTTTCACCTATAATCTTCCTGCTCAGAAACTGAACACTATCTTCAGTTATCGCTGATGGGCTGGCAGAGATAGAGTAGATCGTGGGATAGGAAGGGAGCTGAAGTTAGGGGATAATAAGAAAACAGCGAGGAAAAAAGTCTAAGAGGTAGAGGTGAGGACTGCAGGTAGAGATAAATATACATGGGCGTAGAGGTGAGTGCCCCCCCCCAGGAGATAGAACATCTGAGAGGCGTTTAGAATTTTTCTATTTCTCATTTTTCCCTGTGTATTCAATCTTCTGCACCTAGGTCTCTATATCGGCTGGCGCTGTCCACATTACCTATGGGATTGTTACCGGATTGGGAACGAGTCCAAGTGCTTCTGTGGACACTTGCTGAAACAACACCAGATCATCTCAGGTATGAGAGCTGTAATCAGCCTCTCTAGTGTGGTTACAGGTGTGCTCTGTTGTGTCTTGGGATGTACGGTGGGAGAGGTATATCAGTGCCGGGTAGAGTGGGGAAGACCAAATGCTACGAGGTTCTGGTCAAACCCTACCACCCATCCCCATTCCCACAGACATATCTGTACCTTGCACTGTGAACCAGTGCCGCTGCCTCATGTTCTGCTTCATCCCATCACGCCCGGAGGAGGTGGGTGAGTTCTGGCTCCAGAGACGGGCCACCTTCAACCCCAAGGCCTGGAGGGTCCAATGTCGTTGCAAACACAGTCACGAAGACCACGCAGCCAACGGAGCCCATCCCTGCAGGCATCATGGTAACTCTTAGTGCAAGGAGAGTTTTGGGGTGGGGAGAAGAGGAGTACAGGATGCAGACTGGAGACAAAGGTGGAGGCTAATAGGAGACATTCGCATATGGGGCAGGTATGGAAGAGATGAGAATGCAGTCAGTCCATAGGGATGCCCAATTCCCTGTACTCTTCTAGCTGTCCTTTTACCTCAGGTTGTTCCTGCAACTGTTTTGAATCTAATTTCCTCTGTGCGGCCTGCGACCGACGCTGGGAGGAACATGAGACTTTCTTTGAGACTGAGGAGACCTGACGACGAGGAGGGAGGCCTCATGGTGAGAGAGCAACCTGGAACAGGGGCCAGCCTGTCATCTGTAGTCCAAAGGCCAGGCAGAAAGACACTCCAGCCTGAACCCTATCCTCTAGCACTCCTGCACTCCTTTATTCCACCCTCCACATCCCTTTCCTACACTGGTTTCCACCCCCAGGAGCAGACTACATGCTTTTTGCTGAGATGCCTGTTCTTCAAGAAGCCATCATCAACACCAACTTTGAGGCAGTCCAGATGCAGGGACCCTCTGGTCATTCCAGTTCCCACCCTAGGCCCCCCTCACTTCCTGGCCCGTGTGACATCCAGTCTGGCTCCAAATGTGACCCACATACCTGACCCGTTCACTTCTGTTCTTCCTTCCTCCAGGGATACATACTGTCGACAACTGGCACAGGCCTTTCTGAGCCCAGCCACATCAGCAATAAAGTGAAAGTCACTAGAATCTGACCTGGCTTCATATATGGTGGGAAAAGCCACAACCCAAATGTAAGACCTTAGAGTCAGCACTTACTGGGGGCAAGAGACAGCACTGCCAAACAGGATAAAGGCTGGATCCAGCATCTGTCTCCATTACAACCACATCTAAGCTACTGGCTATGACCTGGGAAGTAGAATGTCTTTAAGAAAGCCAAGGAGGGACTGAATTGCAAAGATAGAGTGAGAAGTTCTTTTGATGTAGTTGGGAATTCTATAAGATAAAGGAAAAGTGCCCATTGGATTTTGCTATTAGAAAGTCTTTGGGAACCTTAGAGAGTGTAGTGGAGGCAGAAGTCAAATGGCAGTGAGTCTGGAGTGTATTCAAAAAGCTTAGGTGAGAGGTGCAAGAGAGAAGTTAGCAAATATCTAGAGAGAAATGTGGAATCGAGAAAGCATTTTTTAAGGAAGAAAGAGGGAAGAGACCAGTAGACAAAAAGACCTTGAAAGATGCAGAAGAGAAAGGAGAAATCCTTGGTCAGAAGATCCCAGAGGGAGGGAATGGGGTCAAGATAGAGGTGAAGGGATTTGCTCTGAACAAAGAAAACATCACAGCTGGGTGCAGTGGCTCAGCTCTATAACCCCAGCTACTCAGAAGGCTGAAGCAGGAAGATTACAAGTTCAAGGCCTGCCTGGGCAACTGAACAAGACGCTGTCAAAGAGAGGAGAGGTGAGAAGGGAAGGGAAAAGGAAAGGAGGAGAGGAAAGTGAAGGAGTAGAAGGAAAATTATTTCCTAAAATCAAGAAGAAAGCTTACTTTCTTTACTGAGCTTCAGGGAACAGGAAATTATGGGAGTTCCTCTGTGAAGAGTGGGAAATAGGAGACAGGAAGAGAAAGGTGAAATTTGGGGAAGGTTAATGTAGGGAATTTGAGAAAGTCCTGGGTAGTTTAGGATACAATTAGAAGTGAGAACCAGCTGAGAAGAAAAGCAAAAAATTTAAAGCAACAGGTGGTGATGAGAGGGTGTCAGGAAAAACAATGAGGAAAATAAAGCAAAAGAAGTAGGTATGAAGATATGAAGAGAGTTGGCAATGTACAAATAGTGAAAGAAAGTGATGCCAGGAAGCAAATGACAGATGAATAAAAGGAGTAGTTGAAGTAAGAGTAGTCCCTAACGAGGCCCAGTAGCAGGTATGGTAACAGGGAGAGTGTAGTCAAAGCCTGTGCAGCTTCCAGATGAAAGCACTAGACTAGAGAAGACTGTGAGCCTAGGATCAGAATCAGTGCCTGTGAGGGAGAGGTAAGGAAGTCCACAGCTGATGCTTAATGGGAGTAGAAGAGTCCTGTGACTCTAAGGAAGAACTGTCCCCCTGTGGGCCTCGGTTTCTGGATCTGTTAAACAGGAATAACCTATGTCGCCTGGTCTCTATGAGGCTCCAAAGAAATAACAGTTTCAAAGTGCTTTGTACTCAAAAATCCCTCCTGTTTTCCTTCCTCTTCTAAAACCCAGCTGCCTCATCCCCTGCCCTTTTTCAGGGCAGCTCTAGGGTCTCTCAGTGACTCAGAGAAGAGGCCAATCTACATTGCATTACACTTAGGGCATCTGTCTTCCAAGGGAGAGAGCAGCTTGGACCACTAGGACCCTAGGGGAAAAATCACAGGATCAAACATCTACGCTTTGGAGAAGAAAGAACTTTCTAACAATAATATTGCTACATTACAAGGATTTACTAATTCTAGAAATCAAGTTTCTCAACACTGGTTATGTGTACCATGATCACAACCACCTAAATCAATTAGTAGTCAACAATAGAGGAACAGTCAGAAAAATCCATTCAAGGAAATAGCATGCAGCCACTGCAAAAGATATTTACATAGACTATGTGCTGATGAGAAACTGATTATAAGTGGGAAAATAATAAATATGCCATATATGTTATTCTAGATCATGAAAGGAAATAAAACACCAAATGTTATTTTTTTCAACAATTATTGGGCATCTATATGTGTCAGGCCATGTGTTTTTAAAAACAAAAAACTATTTAAAAAATAAAACTAGCCAGACATGGTGGCATATGCCTGTAACCTCAGCAATATGAGGAGGCTGAGGCAGGAGTGCAAGCCCAACCTGGGCAATTTAGTGACTTAATTGAGAACCCGTTTCAAAATAAAAATTAGAAAAGGGCTGGGAAGCTTGGTAGGTGACACAGTCTGTAATCTCAGCACTCAGTAACCAGAAGCAGGAGGATTGTTTCGAGTTCAAGGCCAGCCTGGGCTTTATAGGGAGACCTTGCCTCAAAAAAGGAGAAAGAGGATGAGAAGGCCCTGGGTTCAATTCCCAGAACAAAGGGGAAAAAAAAAACAAAACAAAAAAAAACGATATAGTGGCAAATTATCCTATATGTTGAGCATCAAACTAAAACTTAGTACCTTTTTGATAACACTAATGTTTCCCCAGAGCAAAGCTGGCTCACTGAAAAATGCCGTATCGCCTCACCTTTCCTGAAAAGAACACTGGATATCTACTTACTTTGTCTTATTACAAGTGCAGCAAAGATAGGATGCTGCCATTCTCGCCGGATTTTTTTTAAATGCAAAAACGACCCCGAAAATTGCATAATATTTAATAGAGTGAACGTGTTAATTAAAGCATATCACAATCTTTGAAATGGTCAAGAGTCTGAAACTGCCCTTGGGGAGAAATGGAAAAAAGAGACCGGGTCCCCGTTTCCCTTTAAACCTGCCCAAGCAGCCCCTGCAGCCAATAAGCGCGAAGGCCCTCAGAACACTGTACTCCCAGCCGCTGCAATGAAAAGGTCTAAAACAGGTGAGGGATCCCTAGCCTCTTCCTCAAACCTGTAAGTAGGAGCCGGAGCTGTAAAGAGCCCAGAACAAGAGAGCCCCGCCACTCAAGGGACCTCAACCTCAAGGTTATGGGTCAGAGGCAACTGGAAGAAAATACCATTTCCAGGTTTCTTAATTCTTGGACATTTATTTCACAGTGAAACTATCTAAGGGATTCCGTGGAAAACCGAGTTTTACACGGACTGGAAGACCAAAGCCATAGAGTAGGAAATTGGCACTGCGTCGGCAGAAGCAGCCAATGGGATGAAAAGACTCCGCCTCTAAATTGGCAACGGAGCCAATGGGACAATAGTATCCAGAAGCGTGCTCCAATGGAATGATAGGGCCCGTCCAAGTAGACCAATGGCCACCGCTCCGCAGCTACCTAATAGCCCACCTCTCGCAGGCCGCTGAGCTGAGCTGTCCTGCTGAGCTGTTCCCGCAGCCTAGGAAAATGGCTGCGGCAATGGTACTGGTCGCCAGTTGGAGCGCGGCGCGCAGAGCCGTGGCAGCCGCGGGAGTGCGGGGGGTGCAGGTGAGAATAGCAGCGGAGGCGAGGACCGGGCCCGCAAGCCCCCACACCCTCAGAGGCGTAAGGCAGCGCTTCTCCCAACTCCCGAAGGCGCGCTCAACACAGCAGCCTCTCGGAGCTGCTGCCCCTCTCAGAGGATCCAGCTGTGGGACCGTGCGGTGAGATTGTATTGGTGGCGGCAGGAGAAGTGAACTAACCATGACCGCCAATTCTGCACAGGCCTGGGCGCCGAGGTCAGGTCAGGGTTGGTGCAGCGGCTGTGGCTCCCGCTTGCTGAATTCTTGCTGGCCCGGCACCAGCTTTGGGCAGCCCCAGTGCTTCCTGCAGATAGTGAGCTTTCTATTCTCATAGCCAGTTCTCTGCCCGCCTCGGGTCTCTGGCCTTTTAATAAGCACCACTGTTAATTTTTGATCGTAACCACTTCCCAGAATCGACTTGGGAGTCAGAGAAATCTTAATTCATTCCATCCTTTCTTCCTCAATGTGACGCATTGACTTCAGCCTTCTCTGAGTTCAAGGGAAACCTACTTCCAATCCCCTCAGTCTGGGGAACTGAGTGCATTTAGCTGAAGTCGTACAATACCACTGATTCAAGTTTCTAGAGTTAAAATCCACAGGAAGAGATCAGAAGTGACACCCAGATGAGGGATCAACTGATGTCAAACAGGGCAAATGCATTAAAATCTAAATAAAATAATTAATGAGACTTAAAAGATAAAAAAGCAAGGAATATAAATAAATGAAAACAGACAAGGTAGAGTATACAGGTAGAGCTTCAAACTGGCTTAATAAATGATACAAACTATTCCTTTATTTTTGAACCTGAAAAAAGGGTTTATTTGAGGTAATTTGGTGGTGGAATTGGAACTGAGACCTAAACCTTGAGACATCCATTCTAGATCCTTTTCCCCGAACAGTGCTAGATTGCATAGACATGTTAGCAGGAATCAATTGCACACATAAATTCTGCATAGTAACACTGTCTGTCTATTATCCTAACAGACTCAGTACCATCTGCCCTACCCTCTGCTGCTGATGCAATGAAATTCAGCAATTTTTCCCTTGGGTGGGAACCACTAATACATTCTTAGAAGGATAAAGTTAGTAACTGTCAGAGCCCAATCCCAACTAAGTACATGGAAAGAATTGCCAGCTCCTCCCTCCTGGTGTGTCTAACCCATCTTCAGGTCCGAGGAGCTGCAGGTATGACTGATGGGAATGAAGTGGCCAAGGCCCAGCAGGCAGCTCCGGGAGGAGCAGCCCCAACCATCTTCTCCCGGATCCTGGACAGAAGCCTCCCAGCTGACATTCTATTTGAGGACCAGCAGGTGAGGTCCCCTTAGGGCCCAGTCCCCTTAGGAATTTCATAAATATTATCTGGCCTGATGAAATAACATGATGGTCTCTGGCCTGTCACTGCTCCCAGTGTCTTGTGTTCCGTGATGTGGCCCCACAGGCTCCTGTACATTTCCTGGTTATTCCTAAGAAGCCCATTCCTCGAATTAGCCAGGCTGAGGACGAAGACCAGCAGGTGGGGAGATCAGGGCCAGGGGTGGCCTGGGAAGAACCATGGTTTAAAGTAGAGGTTTTGCTCCCTACAAATGAAGCTACCTATGTCCCTCCCCTCTCCCTATAGCTTCTAGGACACCTCCTCCTTGTGGCCAAGAAGATAGCAAAGACTGAGGGTCTGGGAGATGGATACCGACTTGGTGAGTCACTGGCTCTTGGACCTCTCACCTGTGAATTCTAACTCTTCAATATGATCTTTATTCTTTGACCTCTCTCATGATCCTGGCCCCCTAACCTCAAGCTCCATTTCAGTGATCAATGATGGAAAGCTGGGCGCACAATCTGTATATCATCTGCACATTCACGTACTTGGAGGCCGACAGCTCCAGTGGCCTCCAGGTTGAACCTACCAACTGATCAAGGACCCCAGAACTGAATGCTTGGATGGGGAAGGGAAAGGGACCCTGTGCTGCTAATAAATCTGTTCTCCCTCAATTTTGTATCCCTGTCTTAAATATTCAAAAGATTTATGCCACAAAAGGAAAGAAACCCAATTTGGGGCCGTGATTTCCCTTGGCAGTGGTCAGAGACTGGGGCAGTAGGATCCCAAATTTGAGCCCAGCCTGGGCAAGTTAGCAATGGAAGGAAGATCCAGTTTCAAAAATATATAAAAAGGGCTGGGGATGTAGCTCACTGTGAAGGCCCTAGGTTCAATCTCCAGTACCATGCAAAAACAAAAAACAACCCAGAATGAGAGATACAGAGCAGGTCTATCAGTGGTTAAAGAGATAAACTGATGCCAAACCAGGCAAATGCATTTCTCCCTTGTTGATCTGCTGTCTGACAAGTGGTCTGTCTTGGGTCACACTTATACAAAAGTGGCAATAGTAATGAACCTGAAATAGTAGGAAAAGACTGAAACCCAGACATAAGACATGCTCCATCCTGGCCCTTACCCATAAGCCAAACCAGGTCCTACAGGTTACTGGGAGAAGGGTAGTCAATATAAAAGCCTTCTGTTGGCTAAGAAATCCCACATACACACACAAAGCTACTACTTATATGATACTCCACACATGCCCCACCCACCTTTTTGTACCCTGGAATGAACTCAGGACCTTGTGCTTTCGAGGCAGGCGCCGCGCCACTGAGCTAAATACCTCCCCGTTTTTTTCTGTAGCTGTTTCATATACTTTCATCCTTTAAAAAAAAAAAATTAGACTCCCCATTACCAACTTTTGAAAGCATATTAAGAGGAAGCTATGGTTGCCCCTCCACAAACATCAAATAACTTTTTGTATGATGCTACAGCCCTGTGCTTGTCTGTAATACATCCCCATAGTCACCTTAATTGCAAAGAATCACCCTTCAGCCTGGAGGATGAGGGCTCAGACCAGCGGAACCTTAAAACTCCGTCCAAGGCGGAGTCCGGGACCGGAAAGCTGACTCCCAGGGAACACCAGGTTTAAGACTTCCGCCCCGCAAAGGTTTTGCCTCCACCCCATTTTATACACACGCCCAGCTTTACTTCTGCGCAGGCTCCTGGAAGTATTACCGTCTCTATGGCAACCTGGTAGCTGGAGACTGAAGATGAAGACCAACCGGTCTACACATGGATCGCGGTCGCGGTGAGAGCCGCAGCTTTGGCTGCAGGCGTAAGGGGACAGGAAGGCCAGCGGACTTCCAGCTGCTCTTTTGTCGGCCTTGACGCATTCGTTTTCTTTCAGAGCTTTAGACCTACAGCCCAGCTCCGAAGGACTAACGACTACCTCGAAACCGCTTCCTTCTTCAGATGGTGGTTCTAGGTCTGCCCTGACAGCTGCAACCGCAGCAGCTGCAGCCAGTGCAAACGCTTCCACTGCCAAAGCAGCTGCATTATGTTCAAAGACCCTAGAGCCCTATTCTGGGTTCACGGAGCCCTCCTCTGACAGTCTTGGGGCAGCCTGTTCTGAATCCCACCAGACAGGCCCTGGGAGCCTTGACTTTGAGCCCGCCTATGTTTCCTGTATTGCTCAGGAGCCCTGTACTACAACTGACCTTGGCTCAAGTCCTGGCCCTGCTCCTACTTCCAGCTCTGGTCCTGGCAGTGGCTCTGTCCCTGGCTCCTGCTCTGGTCCTGGCCATGGCTCTGTCCCTGGCTCTGGGTCAGTTCCTGGCCATGGTTCTGGTCAAGGTTCCTGTCCTGCTTCTGGAACTGGCCCAGGCCCTGGCCCTGGCCCTAAGGTTAGCCCCAGCACTCCTCAAAGGTTCAGAAATCTCAGGTCAGATCTGCTCCCTGATAATACCTCCTGGGGTCCCTACTGCCACTGGGAACCTCAGAAACAACCAACCTGGGAATTTTTGCAAGTCGCAGAACCTGGTACTCGAGGGCTATGGAAACCCAAAGAAGTTGAAGGGAAGCCTAAGTTTCACTACAGACCATTACCACGGGGCCATTGCCTTCTCTACAACTGGGAGGAAGAGGTATTACGTTTATGGCTTTCCCCCTTTTCTTGAAGGCTGATCCCACTTTCCTAGGAGAGCAAATAGTTTGTGGTGAGGGTAGGTATCAAAAAGGAATATTATAATTACTCAGTTTGGCCCACAGAGAGCCACCAATCACCTGGATCAAGTCCCAAGTTCACAAGATGGCTCTGAGAGTTTCTTCTTCCGACATGGGCACCAGGGACTGCTGACCATATTACAGTCACCTGTGCTGTCCACCACCACCCAGAAAGACTCATACCAGCCTCCAAGAAACTTCCATCAGCCTCTTCCAGGTATGAAGCACAAGAGAACAAGCCAGAATGAGTCAACAAGGACAGAAGAGAGGAAGGCATTTCGGTGGGACTGTGGATTGTTTGATGGATATAAAGAAAAATCCCAAGATTTCCCTTCCTTTTCTCAGACCTGCTTCTTAACCAGACCCCTGCTCTGCTCTCCCACAGGAAAGCGTGAAGCCATGCTGGAGATGCTCCTGTACCAACAGACCTGGTGAGATACTGGGGAAAGGGCAAGGGCGGGGGAGGAGAACGCCTGGGAGAATGGCCTTGACAAGCCCGCAGGGCTGCACAGTAAAGAGATGCAGGCAGAGGAGGAACCTCCAGGGAAGCTCTTTGAGGTCGAGTCAGTGACACATCATGACTACCAAATGGAGCTGATGCAAGCAGGGCCTCCTGCTCCAACAAAGGTGAGAACCCATTCCACCCCACTTGTATAGCTGGGCTGTGACAGGTGGGCGAGCCCAGAAGTTGTGAATGTGGGCCAAAGGGCAGGAGTTACTCAATATCTCTCTCTAGCCTCATGACTACCGTCAGGAGCAGCCTGAAACCTTCTGGATACAAAGGGCAGCACAGCTACCGGTATGTGAGGGTACACTACGTATTAGAGGTAGGAAGGAAGGCAGGGCAGAGGCTGCTGTGCTGTGGCTTGAGGGAGGGTGAGATCCGTCCTCATCCTGGCACTTCTCCAGGGTGTCAGTTACATCAGGACACTGGACACACCATTCCGGAAGAACTGCAGCTTCTCAACACCAGTGCCCTTGTCTCTGGGACAGCCTTTGCCTTATGAATCTGAGAGTTACCCCCACCATATGGGTGAAATGTCTTCTCTTGCCTGTCAGGGAAGAGGGCAGGGGTACTGATGAGGAAGAATGGCTCCTGTCTAACGGTTGAGGAACAGAGTAGGATATGGAATTTGGAGTCTATGTCCGTCTGTACTAGAGAAGTGGGTGGGGAAGAAGTTAATTTTCTCTGTACTTGATGAAAGGGATTTATATAAATGGTTCTCCCTCATCCCAAGACTGCTGATTGATTGATTTTGTGAGTCACTATGTCCATAACCCGTAACCTTTCCTTGAGGTTGCCCTACCCAGACTATGACACCATGATTTGTTATTGTTGTTTTATACTTGGCCAAAATATTCTGGTTTAGATACAGATATTTACAGAAGGTAGGGAGGAAGAGAACCAAGTCAGAGAAGGACAGGTATATGTACAAAGCTGAGCTGCAGAGGGCTTCAACTTCCATATTAGTAGGCTTTTTGTGCACATTTTCCCCCTCATGTGGCAATGTTTGTTTCTGGTGTGTGGAGAGATGGTAGCTACTACCCACCCAGGTACCAGCAGCAAGAGATTGTCTGACTTGGGACGAAGTGGGGTTTATAGGAGTCCAGGAGGTCCCTTCCGCTCTCCTAGGAGCCAGTAAGTTCGCATCTTTCCTTTTCCCTGGAAGCAGGGGAGTGAACATAGATCAAATTCTTTAGTATTAGTCCCTTTATCTCCCTCTTTCACTTCCATCCTCCCCTTCTTCCCCAGGGCCTTCCCTCACCTTCATCTCCACATCTCCCCGAAGCTCTAGCTGGAAGCATCCAAGCTCATCCAGCGCATCCTTGGTGGTGGAGGAGACATGGATCTTCAGGGCTGGGTTGGCAAGGGGGAATGGTAGAAAGAAGAGTCAGATAAAAGGCAATAGAAGAATTGGTCGTACTGGAGAGCACCTTACCCAACCAAGAGGCTCCCTGTCTTCCCGACACATATTCCCTAGAACCAAAATATGCCCAAGGATGGGGAACTTAGGAACTGTGGTTTCTTAGATTGAGAGATTTGGAGGAACTCTGAAAAGAAGAAAGGATCAAGACAGTCTGAGGCCGAGGCTGTAGCTAAAGGCTAATGTCTTACCTTGACCGTTAGATTCCATTCGAGAAGCAGTATTCACTGTGTCTCCAAAAAGACAATAGCGGGGCATCTTCAGGCCAACAACCCCAGCACAGACTGGCCCTAATAAAAGAAACGGGTTGGGAGAGCCTGGGAAAGGTGGAGGCCAGGGCTGGGTGAGAGTCAGCCTTACCAGTGTGGACCCCTATGCGTAGCCTTAGCTGGTCATGGGGTCGGTGGCGGATTCGGAAGGAAGAAACTGCATCTAGTAATGCTAGGGCCATCCTAGCAATTTCCGGTGCATGGCGTTGACCATTTCGGCCTGGGAGGCCAGACACCACCATATATGCATCCCCAATTGTTTCCACCTGATTGAGAAGAGGATTAAAAAGGTCACCTCTCTCTGTATCAGCGGGAATGAGCAAAGGTACAACTGGACATCGCTAGGAGTCATCCTGCCAGCCTGGGAGGCCAGAACACTAACTAGAAAACATTTGCCATGGTCCCCGAATCTGAGAGAAAGGAGATGTCAAGGACATCTTGACCCCAGCAACTGTAAACATTTGCTGAGTGAGTGAACACCCCATCTGCAGCAGGGCATGGATAAACGCGCTCTGCTATGAGGAAACAGGAAGCAAGAAAACAGGCTAAACTGAAAAGCAGAAAGGCCAGCAAAGAAGTAAAGCAGGCCCGATGAAATGAATCAGCCCAGACTGTCAGAGGGTGATAAAGCAGGGACTTGACTTTGGTAATTGTACCAAAACTACGTAAGAGAATGTCCTTGTTTTTATGAAATATACAGTTAATTTTGTAGGATATACCCAGTAAATATTTAGGATGAAGGGATACTACATCTGAAATTTTACTCAAATGGCTTCAAAAATAATTATATAAATAGGTTTCTTCACACACACACACACACACACACACACACACACACACACCCCTTCAGTACTGGGGCTTGAATTCACACTGAACTCTATCCCCAACCCTTTATTTTTTTTTTATTTATTTATTTATTTTTTTTTGCGACAAGATCTCACTAAGTTTCCTAGGCTGGATTCGAACTTGTAATCCTCCTGCCTTGGCTTCCCACAGTGCTGGGATTACAGGTATGAGCCACTATATCTGGCTCCTTTTTATTTTTTTATTTTGAGAGTGTCTTGCCAAGTTGCCCCAGCTGAGTTTAAACTTTGTATCCTCCTGCCTCAGCCAACCAAAATGCTGAGATTGTAGGTGTGTGCCACTATGATCACCTATAAATAGGTTTCTTAAAGTAAAAAGGGGAGAATTAAAACAGTTGAATCTGGAAAAAGGTTTTATGAGAGTTCTGTTATAGAAACAGATGATAGAGTAAGCCTAAAGGGAAGGGTCAGGAATAGATATTTATTATCTGCCAAGTGCCATATAAAATATTAGATACTTTTCATATAACCATACAGCTTTTTTTTTTTTTTTTGGCAGTTCTGGAGATCAAACTCAGAACCTTTGCACTGAGCTACATCTCCAGACCTTTTTATTTTTTTATTTTGAAACAAGGTCTTGCTTAATCACTAAGTTGCCTGGGTTGCACTCAAGCTTTTGATCCTCAGTCTCAGGCTTCCGAGTAGCTGAGATTACAGGCTTGAACCACCACATCTGACAAGTAATCTATTATCTCCATTTTAAAGATAAAACAACTGAGACCCAGAGAGATCCTGCTACTTACCCAGAGCCACACAACTACAAAGCCAGTATTCAAATCCAGCTCATTTTTACTTTCAAGGACAATAAAACCATCTGTCTGCCAATGCAGTGACTTCAATAAAAAGCAGTACCACCTTGATCCATAGCTTGACCCTCACTCCACTAAATCAATCTCTGCCTACATTCTCTATGATTCTTCCATGTCTGGAGAAGAAAGGAGGAGAAAATGGATAAGCTGTGTATCCCCAGGGGGATAAGGAATAAAGCTTGTGATGGTTCTGATTACGGAACCTCAAGGATCCATAAGGAATTAGGCCCGAGCGTGCATTTGTAATGCGGAGCCACAGCCTTCCACACAGCGTCCACCATCAGTAGGATGCTGGAGAACCAGAAGAAAACTAACCATGGAGTAGGGAAGGCGTGGGGGTCAGGTTCAAGAACCTGGGTTTTAAAGGTAGGGGAGTAGCCCAGCTCTCACCTTATAGACGTCAAAGTTGTCAATTATGGCATCAAAGCAGGTATACAGGTCATTAAGAAGTGTCACCACCTAACAGGATGGGAAAGCAGAGGTCCTGAAATTTATGCCCAGTTTACTAAGAATTCTCAACCCATAAGCCATAACACTGTAAGGGAGCTCTAGAACAAACCAGTCTTCCCTGTTATCAGTGAAGCTCCCAGGTCCCTAACCCACCCTCTAACTCTCTCCTACAGCTCTCACCTGCATGGGGGTGCTCTCAGCTGACAATGCTGTGAAGCCAACGATGTCACTGAAGTAGATAGTAACACTATCAAAGGCCTCAGCCTGTACAGTCTCTCCCCGCTTTAACTGCTCAGCCACAGAACTAAGAAGCAAGAGTATAGTGTGAGGCAAGCTCCAAGATGGGTTGTGGGGGACAGGGAGGAAAGGGGTAGGTGGCTACAGCAAAGCAGCTGAAAAGTTACTTAGAGCAAAGTAACATGTATGAGTGGTGGGGATCTGTATGTAGGGTCCCAAGCTGAGAATATTTTACATATACTTGTTGAAGCAAAGACAAGGTAGAGCAGTCCTGAGCAGGGATGAGAAGCCAGAAAGAGCACAGCTTATTGGAGACAGAATGAAAGTGTTTAGTCTCTAGTCAGAAGGGGTCACTGTGGCAAGACAGAATAAACAGGGTTCTGAAGGATAGGAAAGTGCATTCTCAGGAAGCTAATATTCCGAGCTGAATCCAAAGGATAATTTATGAAGAGGGTCAAAGGTCTCACTGGGGTAGAATTTGGTAGAGCAAAGCCTCAGCCTTGCGTTTCTCTTCCAGGTAGGCCTGTGTGCGTTCTTCTACCAGCTTCTCCAGGTTATTGGCATACTGTTCCATGCGCAAAAGGAGGTTGTCCAATATGCTGGTTCCACCCTCCCTGCAGAGAAGCCAGGTTATGGCACTTGCTCTAAAATTCCTTTTTTTTTTTTTTTTTTTTTTTTTTTTTTTTTTTTTTTTGAGAAAGGGTCTTACTTTGAAATGCAGGCTGGCCTTGAACTCACTATGTAGCCCAGGCTGACCTCAAACTCACAGTGATCCTCCTGCTTTAGCTTCCTGAGTTCTGGGATTACAGGCGTGCGCCACCATGCCCAGCAATCCAAGATTCTTAAGAACTTTAGGACATACTATTCAATCCACCCATTGGCCCCACCGGCCCCACCTTATTCACTAAGTCTGGTGAGGGTTCTGTCCCTCAGGAGTCCCTGTCCCCTAGTCCCCTCTCACTTGTTAAAACGGCGAATGAAGCCCTTTATCTGTCCAAAATCTGGCCGCTCAGCTGGGTCCTGGGCCCAACATCGCTCCATCAACAAAACTAGCTCTTCATTCAGTTGAGTCCGATCAATGGTTGGCCGGAAATATGGTCGCTGACCATTTCGGACCTTCTGGACAATTTCTAAGGGTGATGAAAGGTTTGGATGAAGAACAGAGTTCCCCAGGAAGAAGAGGCTATGGGTAGTACTTGATTTTCACCTTTAGGGCTGAGGTCCAGGCCCTCCAAGTAGAAAGGACCACTGCGAAGTGCTATCTCCTGTAGGATGATCCCAAAACTGTAGACATCAGCCTTCTGCATTCCTGTGTTTGGCAAGGGGTTCCCATTGAGCAGTTCTGGGGCAGTCCACAGCTTCTCTGAAAAGAAAAACAGGCTGGCCAAGTCCCCAGAAATAGGATACCCCCAAGCACACCTAGGCTCATCCACATATTGCTGTTACTCCTTCTCTCCCACCCTCTCCATGGAAATGATCAAGGCCAAAGGAACAATATAAGAAGTGGGTTGTGCCGGCAGGCCTCACTGGCATAGAGGGCGTGGCTGTCATCAGGTTCAGCAGTTGAACGGAAGCTGGCCAAGCCATAGTCTGTGATTTTGAGCACAAAACGACTATCCACCACACAGTTGGAGGACTTGAGGCTTCCATGAGATGATATAATGCTGTTGTGGAGAAAGGCCATGCCCTGCAGGATACATATCAAGTATCTAAATCATATCTGGCTAAATGACCCCCTCCCCATGACATGGGCACTAGCTAGCTGCCTCTAGATCTTGGGGCCATAATATAAGGTGATTTTGGAAGTCATCCCTTATAACACAATTTTTACCCAAGGAAGCAGGCAAAATAGGAGAGTAACTTTTT